TTTAGATGGGTGGTATTGGGTGGAGGCGCTATCCTTGAGGGCATCTGTCTCTGTCTTCTTGGAGGAGGGGGCTTTTGATCTGGGAGTACTTTATTGGGGCCTAATGGCTGGGGGTCGGTATTTATTTTTAACCTTATTTTGAACAGGACCCCGGGGTCATAGGCAGTTTGATGGTTTACCCTCAGGCCCCATAGCCTCCCCTGTAGCCAATCTCTAGATGTTTTGCCTGCCGGGGTAAAGGTGATATGTAAGGGATTGCAGGCAAATGAAGTGCATGGCCCGTCCCCGTACCATAGAGTTTCAACCGTCCTGGGTGTACTCCTGCAATAGTCGGTGGAGAGCGGGGGTTCACTTTGCTTTTCTCTTTTTACTTGTATTAAATCCCAGGACGAGCTTGGGTTCCACCAAGCATCCCCCATAGTTTCACATCCCCAAGCCTTACAATAGTAACTTTCATGTTGCCCACATTTCCGTGCCTGAGATCTAATTCTTCCATCCCTTGGACATACGTAAAACGATTTCTTTCTTAGGGCCGCCCGAGCCCTGGGGTCCCTACATCCTGCCGGATAACATGAACAGGGGCAGCGCCCACTACGGGTGCATACTTCTGGTTCACTTGGTCTAGCAGGATCAGTAGTTGGAATGTCAAAGTCTTCTGATCCAGCTAGCATCTGACAGAGGTCAGGCTCCAGGGCAGGCCACCATGCCCAAAGGGGGTATTTAGTAGAAGTTATTTCCCAAGTTATCTCTCCCACCCCTGACAGTATTTGCCATGTCTGGCTCACAGGCTGGTTGGGGTTATACAATTGGTGCCTGGCAGCTGACATGGGGAGAGCTAAACATAAAGCGAATAAAGTCAGCAGCGAGTGAGTCTTATCTTTAGCGGATTCTGGGTTCGTTGCAACTTCCATTCTGGATCCGAAGAGGCGTCTGCGGACTCTGGTGGATGTGCAGCCTTTACGTGGGAAGCGTGAATCCAAGCCGTGATGCCGTCCACCTTGATTGCAGTAGGAGTGGTCAGCAGAATAGTGTAGGGTCCTTTCCACCGTAGTTCGAGGTTTTTGCTCTGGTGCCTGCGGACCCAGACGGTGTCTCCGACCTGGAAGGGATGCGGTAGCGAGGGGGTTTCAAGTTCTTCTTTGTAGGCTGTGGCTAGAGGCTTCCAGACTTCGTTCTGGACCAATTGCAAGGCACGTAAATGGGTCTGCATGGATGGGGCGAGGGGAGCATAAGTTTCAGTTTCATAAAAGTTAACAGCAGGTGGTGGGGCACCGTACAGGATCTCAAATGGGGTTAGTCCCTGTGGGCCTGGGGTGTTTCGGGCCCAATATAAGGCTAAAGGCAGGAGTTGTACCCAGTCTCTAGTGCCAGTTTCAAGCGTTAATTTGGTTAAAGTCTCCTTAATGGTTCTATTCATTCTTTCTACCTGTCCTGAACTTTGGGGTCTATAGGCACAATGTAATTTCCAATTGATCCCCAATGCATTGGCCACCGTCTGACTTACCTGGGAGACGAAGGCAGGCCCGTTATCCGACCCAATTGTCCCAGGTACCCCATACCTAGGGAAAATTTCTTCCAATAACTTCTTTGCAACCACCTTTGCGGTCTCATGCCGGGTCGGGAATGCTTCTGCCCATCCAGAGAAGGTGTCAACAAAAACTAAAAGATATTTATATCCATATATACCTGGCTTGATTTCAGTGAAATCTATCTCCCAATGAGTTCCAGGTTTATGTCCTTTCACGCGGACCCCTGTTCCAATTTTGATCTTACTTGCATTTACCTGGGCACATGCTTGACAATCTGCTACTATCTGGCGAAGGAGATGATCTCTGCTCGGGAGGTACAGGGCACTCTCCCCCCGGTCTAAGAGTTCTTTCATCTTTTTAGTCCCAAGGTGTGTTAGTTTGTGTAGGGACCTCACCAGCTGCTCTGCATTCTTTAGGGGCATGATAGTCTTTCCTTGGTATTTCCAAGTACTTCCTGCTGGGTCGTAAGTGGCCCCTAATTTTTGGATGATATCCAAATCTTTATCCTCATATACCCATCGCTCTTTATGGTCATCATGTCGTGGCATTGCCCGCTGGGGCAATAGAGTCATTATCAGGAGTTGTGGCCCTAGGGCAGCTTTCTTGGCTGTTTCATCTGCTAATCTGTTCCCTCTGGCTTCTGGGGTATCCCCTTTTTGGTGGCCGGGGCAGTGCATAATACTTAACTTTTTAGGCAAGAATAAAGCTTTGAGCAAAGCTAATATCTCAGTCTTATTTTTGATTTCTTTCCCCTCTGAGGTCAGTAATCCCCAGCGCCTGTATATTTCTCCATGTATGTGGGCAGTGGCAAAGGCATATCGGCTGTCCGTATACACATTTAGTTTCTTCCCCTCTGCCAACTTTAAGGCTTGAGTCAGAGCTATCAGTTCCGCCCACTGAGCTGACGTCCCGCCTGGGAGTGCACTCGCCCATACTACCTTAAATTCGGTGGTTACGGCCGCTCCCGCTCGTCTTTCTCCATTAAGTAGATAGCTGCTCCCATCTGTATACCAGACCAGCTCCGCATCCTTCATTGGTTGGTCCGTGAGGTCTGGCCGGGTCCCCTGTGTCTCTGCAAGAATCTGCTGGCAGTTGTGAGGGTCTGCTTCTCCCGGGAGCGGCAGGAGGGTTGCCGGGTTCAGTGTCACCACGGGGCCGAACTGAATTCGGTCAGTGTCCAACAATAGGGACTGGTAATGGGTGAGTCGGGCATTTGACATCCAGCGGTCGGGTGGCTGGCGAATTATGGTCTCAATGGCATGAGGGGTTAATAGGGTTAATGGCTGTCCCAGGGTAAGTTTAGTGGCATCCTTAATCAGGAGAGCCACAGCCGCTACCATCCGGAGGCATGGTGGCCATCCTGCCGCCACTGGATCTAATTTCTTTGACAAGTAGGCTATAGGTCGCCTCCAAGGTCCTAGTTTTTGGGTTAAAACTCCCTTTGCATAGCCCTGCTTTTCATCTACGAATAGATCAAAGGGCTTGGTAATGTCCAGTAGGCCTAAGGCGGGGGCTGACAGAAGGGCTAATTTAATGTGATCGAATGCCAATTGATGTTCCTTAGTCCAGGAAAAGGAGTTGCCTTGTTTTGTCAGTAGGTACAGAGGGGCTGCTACCTCAGCGAACCCAGGAATCCAGAGTCTACAGAACCTGGCGGTTCCTAAAAATTCCCGCAATTGTTTGGGACTCTGGGGGGGTGGTATGCTCGAGATAGTCTCTTTTCTGGCAGCTGTTAACCAGCGCTGACCGTCATGGAGTTCATAGCCAAGATAGGTGACTTTTGTCTGACAGATTTGGGCCTTTTTTGCTGACGCCCTGTACCCCAATAGTCCCAAAGTTTGTAATAGCTTCTCCGTACCTGCTAGGCAATCTTCCTTGGAGGTTGCAGCCAGCAAGATGTCATCTACATATTGAAGCATGATTAAGAAAGGGTGCCTTACACGGAAATCAGCCAAATCTTGATGCAAGGCCTCATCGAAGAGTGTTGGGCTGTTTTTGAACCCTTGGGGTAGCCTCATCCAAGTCAGTTGTCCGGAGACTCCTTCTTCAGGGTCCTTCCATTCGAATGCAAAAAGAGCCTGACTTTGGGGGGACAGTCTTAGGCAGAAAAAGGCATCTTTCAGGTCCAAAACAGTATACCAGGTATGGGTGGGAGGCAAGGTGCTGAGGAGATTGTAAGGATTTGGCACCGTCGGGTGGATATCTTCTACCCTTTTGTTAACTTCCCGTAAGTCCTGGACTGGCCGGTAATCATCAGTCCCCGGCTTTTTGACGGGTAGTTGGGGGGTGCTCCAGGGCGACCGGCAAGGTGTTAGGATGCCTTGGTCTAGAAGGCGTTTTATATGTGGCTTGATGCCTTGATAGGCTTCTCTGGACATAGGATATTGTTTAATATTAATGGGAGAAGCAGTGGCTTTTAGGTGGATGACTATTGGAGATTGTCGCTTAGCCATCCCCATTCCTCCGGTTTCAGCCCAGGCCTCCGGGTAGGTACTAAGCCAGTAATCCATGTCTTTCTTAGGTACTGACGGATTGTCAAAAAGTTTATATTCATCTTCCAATTTAAAAGTCAATACGTGCAAAGGGGTCTGATTTGGTCCTGTGATGGTGGCACCCCCATTTTTGAAATAGATTTGGGCCCTCAATTTGGTCAATAGGTCTCTTCCTAGCAGTGGATACGGGCAATCGGGCACATGCAGGAACGAATGGGAGACCTTACCTGTGGCAAGGTGTACTTCTCTTTTGGTGGTCCATCGGTATGGTTTGCTCCCGGTGGCACCTTGAACCCACGTCGTTTTGTGGCTCATGGGTCCTGGTGCCTGTGTTAGCACCGAGTGTTGGGCTCCGGTATCCACCAGGAAGGTCACAGGTTGCCCCCCTACTTGTAGAGTTACCCGGGGCTCAGGGGGGGGCTCCTGGCCCTGACTCCCCTAATCTTCATCCAACGCTAGCAATTGGGGGGTCCGGCTTGTGCCTCTTCTGGGGTTGGGAGGCCTCTTTGGGCAGTCTTTTACCCAGTGTCCTTTCTCCTTACAGTAGGCACATTGGTCTCGGTCTACACGGGGTCTGCTCCGCTCCCTGTCCTTGCTTATCTTGTCTCCCTGATATCCTGCCTGAACTACGGTGGCCAATATCCTACTTAGTTCCCTGTTACGTCTTCGATCTTTTTCTCTTTCTCTCTTATCTGATTCTTCCCAAAGCTTAAGATCTCGCTCTTCCTGCATCTTCCTAATTCTAGCTTCTCGTTCTTCCGGCATCTCTCTTTTGTTAAATATCTTTTCAGCTTCCTTCAATAAATCTGCTAGAGAAAGATCTTGTAGGTTATCTAGCCTTTGCAATTTAGTTCTGATATCTGGGGCAGACTGCCAAATAAAAGCCATGGAAACATTCCCTTTTTGGTCCTCACTATCGGGGTCAAAGGAGTAAACCTCCGGTAAGCCTCCTTCAGCCTTTCTAAGAATGCTGTTGGAGTTTCCTCTGACCCTTGGGTAGTCTGTCTCACCTGGGCCAAATTAGTGGGCCGTCGCCCTGCTCCCTGGAGACCCGCCATGAGTAACTGGCGATAGAGGCGTAGGTGGTTCCTACCTGCTTCGGTCGCATAGTCCCAATTCGGCCGAGTTAAGGGAAAGGCTTCATTAATCAAATTTGGGAGTTGGGTGGGGCGCCCATCGTCCCCTGGTACGTTCTTACGAGCTTCCAAGAGAACTTTCTGTTTCTCCTCTGAAGTGAGGAGAATTTGTAAGAGCTGCTGGCAATCATCCCACGTTGGCTGGTGGGTTACTAAAATAGATTCAATCAAGGAGGTTAGAGCGACAGGATCTTTAGTAAAGGAAGGATTATGGGTTTTCCAGTTATAAAGATCAGAGGCAGAGAAAGGCCAATATTGATATTGGCCATTAGGGCCCCCTGTATGTCATAGGGGGAGGACTTTAGAGGTGTCCCCTGAGGTGGCATGAGCCCTACGTCCCCGGAGTCGTCCCACCATGGGGGATGGGTCCGGGGAGACACTGGCGGTGGGGCCCTCCTGTTCTTCTTCTCCCTCTGAGGATGAGTGACCGGGTTCGGGGGGCTGTAAGGGTTGGGGCTGGTAAGGAGGAGGCTCGTCAGTCAGCAGGTCAATCAGAGGTGAGTCCTCCGGTGGCAGTACCTTCTTCGGCGATGTCTTTGGATTCAAAGAAGCCTCAGATTTGTCAAGGACAGGGTAAAGTCGAGAGGTTTGAGAAGGGGGAGGGGGAGCTGGGACGAGAGGAGCGGAAGGTTCATGTGAAGAGCAGATAGTGGGCTTGAGCGGAGAGAAGGGAGCAACCCAAGGGGGCGGATTGGAGATTAGGTCTTCCCAGGTAATAATGTAGGGTATTTGGTCAGGGTGTCCGTGAGGGCCGTGGGTGAAGATTCGGGATTTCGTCTGCAAGATAAGATCAAGGTTAAAGGTTCCTTCTGCTGGCCAGCCAGTATTAAAGGCTGGCCATTCTAGGGTACAGAGCGTTTTCCACTTCTTCTTGACAGTCACGGACAGGTTGTTTGCCCGATCTTGAATATCTTGCCAATGATCTAGAGTGAGGCTCAAAGGGGTGGTTAATGAGTTTCCCATGTTAATTTCAAAGGAAAAATAAAGAGGTAGACACACAGACACAAAAACGAAACCAAACAAGAAGAGCGCTGCGCGGCTTCGGCAGAAACCGAAAGTATCCGATGGCCTGGGAGAAGTTCGCGCTTCTTCGTTGCCTACAAAGACGGTGTATCCCTCGGAAACACCGGGGCCCCCAAAGAAACAGGCCCCTCTGATCCCTGGGACGTCTCCCAGGGTGGCAGGGGAGAAGTCCGAGTTCGTCAACTCCTTCTCAAGCTGCCTCAAATACTAAGTGACTACGCGTAATCTCAAAAACCTTACAGATGCTGCGCAAGACATTAAACACAAGACAAGACAAAGAGCTCCAGCTAGCCGGCTTACCTCCCAGTGATGTCGAGTGTCCTCCGGATTTGGGTCTGGGCTGAACCGGTGATCCCGGGCGAGCTCCCAAATGAAAGACCCCGAGACCCCAATCCAGAATGGAGCACGCGAGACACTGGATGCAACCGCAGAGGCTTTATTCACAGGCGCCCATGGGTGCACAGCAAAACCTAGGCCGTAGCTTCGGTGGCTTGCACACCCGGGCTCGGGGGTACAGAGTTTTTATAGGGAGCGGGGGTCAGTTTTCAGCTCAGCACAGCAACAGCCATTCTATAGGTTCCTCAGAATTCAGTCCTGGGGTCACCTGGGGGGTAAACTTGTTTTTCTTCCACTTTACGTCCTCAGAAAAGAAACCCATAAATTACCTCCCGTCCTTATTATTCCCATTTTTACCCTCATTGTTCCCGTTTTTACCTTCATTGTTCCCGTTTTTACCTTCATTGTTCCCGTTTTTACCCTATTTCCTCAGGCTGGTCTTTCCCAGGATTATCTATATGGAACATCTGGCGGTGGCATTGTATAGCGTTTGGAGTGATACATGCATTCGGGGAGAGCTACGTGCGGCTGGGGAGTGCTTGCGCCTGGGGACGTTCTAGAGGGCGCGGGGGTTAGAATTCTTAACCTTGGGTGAGGGGCCCTGCAGTCTTTCACAATCAACACATCACAGTAGCATTTTATGAAAGGATTTAAAGCACCAGAGAAGTAACAGCCATCTGTCACGCCAACGTGACACTCACCGATAGCCCTGTGGAAGTACTCCATCAGCACCTCTGTGTTCTTGATCTCCATGGAGTAAAATTAGCTCCTCACCATGGGGCAGAAAGGCACCTTACTCCCAAGATCCTGAACAATTGCCAGGGCCAGGGCTGTCTACAGAGGCAAGAAAGGAAAGGTTTCCATTTTACAGTCTTTTTTGTTTTTTTAGAGAGAGTGAGAGAGAGAGAGTTTTAATATTTATTTTTTAGTTATAGGCGGACACAACATCTTTGTTTGTATGTGGTGCTAAAGATGGAACCCGGGCTGCATGCATGCCAGGCAGGCTTGCTACCATTTGAGCCACTTCCCCAGCCCATTTTACAGTCTTGAAAACATAATTCAAAGCCATCTATATAAAATTTATACAAGAGGCTGAACATGGTGTCGCACACTTGTGATCCCTGAGACTAAGGAGGCTGAGGCAGAAGGATGGCAAGGTGGATGCCAGCCTCAGCCACTTAGCAAGGCCCTGAGAAACTCAGTGAGACGCTGTCTCTAAATAAAATATAAAAGGGTTGGGGATGGCTCTCATGGGTTAAACACCCCTGAGTTCAATCCCTGGGTCAAAAAAAATAATAATAATAACAGTAACAAATCAGGAAGGATTTATTACATGACCTTCATTTTATGTTAAAAGGCCAGCAAATAGTGGATGATATGTGAGGCCAAATCTGGAAGTTGTGGGTTGGTCTGCACAAGCTCCCCATGACTGTGCACTGTGGTAAACTATAAATTGATGCTCAGTAACCAAACTTAGGTTGGCAGATGCTAAAGAGAACCAGGTGAAACAGACGTCTCGTCAAATACCAAGTCATGGAAAGCAAATGCTCTCAAGTGGGCCCAGGACTGGGAAATGCCATAGCCTCTAAGTGCCATTTCATAGTTTCTCATCTCTGAAATGAGAAGGAGGTCAGACTCCAGGTGTGCAGGCCAGCAGAGCCTCCTGAGTTGCTGAGGGCCTCACTAAGTTGCTGAGGCTGGCCTCCAACTTTTGATCCACCTGCCTCAGCCTCCCAAGCTGCTGGGACAAGGCCAACTGGAGCTACTTCCTCAAAGATGGCCCAGGAAAGGCTCCTCTTAAATTTTCTTTTTAATGCCCTTTTGGAGACACCTCTGAGCAGCTGACCTGGAAGACAATCAGTGAACACTGTCAGGCAAAATCCACTAGCCCATGGGGCAGAGGCTGGTTCTAGTTCTTATATTCTCCCTGTTTTCCAGTGTGGTCTTCAGCACACAGTAGTGCTGATGCTGCACTGCCTCACCTGGTGAATTAAAATACTGTTTAGATTACAAGGAGTCAACGAGCTGTCCACATGATGGTTTTGGTTGGGACCACGTAGTCTTAGAAGTGCCTTTAAACTTGGCTTTTTTTTGGTGGGGATTGAACCCAGGGGCACCATCCCCAGCCTTATTGGGTATTTTATTTAGAGACAGGGTCTCCCTGAGTTGCTGAGTACCTTGCTTTTGCTGAGGCTGGTCTCAAACTTGCTATCCTCTGGCCTCAGCCTCCCAAGCCAGCCACTGGGATTAAAGGCATGTTCCACCATGCCTGGATCTTGCCATTTTTTGATCCCTAGAAACTTTCATTTAGAAATCCAGCTATTTGGCTTCTTTTGAGAAACCAGGTCTGGACCCCGTGGCCCTCTTTTAGTGAAAGGGCACCACATGTTGGCAAGCCCAAAGCAAGTATTCTAATAGCATAGGGAAAATGTTTAGAACAGAACACAGAGGGATGCAATTCCAACACCACAAGGCCCAGGGGAGGCCACAGGCGGCTCTGCCCACCTGTTTTATTTTGCTGGTTCTAAGAATGGAACCCAGAGCCTTGTATGTGCAAGGCAGCTGCTCCAACACTGAGCGCCAGGCCCAGCATTTCTATTTAGAGACAGGGTCTCACTAACCTGCTGAGGCTGGTCTCCACCTTGAGATCCTTTTGCCTCAGCCTCCTGAGTTGCTGGGTTTATAGGTGTGAGCCATTGTGCCTGGTTTTCATGTCCACCTTCTTCCCATAATGTGTCTTCCCTGATCTTTCACAGCCCCCAACTCCCCATTCTCAGTTTCCAGAGTCAAAACAGTGACCACGTCCCACTGAACAGCATCCCTGCCTCCCTCTACCTAATACTGAAGGGGT